TAGATAGATAGATAGATAGATAGATAGATAGATAGATAGACAGAAAGCGTCTGTGTGAGCTCTGACAGTTATTCTGATTTCACACCTTTGATCGGAGGATGCATCTGCTGAGTGGAAGAATGTGGACAAACAGCTGCTCAGCTTCGGCTTTTCTTCCACTCTGTTGCTTTCACACCAGATAACTTCTGTTGGAGGGTGTAACCCCCCCCATGATGACCCCAGGTATCTCAGCTGTCGGTGTAAATGCGTTCAGCCATTTATAGCCGGGGAGGCCCCCTTCGATCTGCCGTTATCCCACATTTCTGTAGCGTTTCTATGGTTACCCGCAGATAAATCCACCTAAACGCGTCGATTCCAACTACTGTTACATACATCGTATCAAGAGCAGCCGCCACCGACTTGGCATCTTTTAATAGGCTCGCTAACATGTGGCAGAGCTCTTAATTCAGCAGAAGCGCTCCACGTTCGGACTCTTAATGAGCTGGAAATATTTTTCCTTTTTGGAGATGTTGTGAGGTGAATGTTGTCAGGCTGTTGACGTTCCCGCTCTGCTTTCAGAGGGTGAAAAGCAAAAGGAATTCAATCATCTGTGGCCTTAACAGAGTCCCTGACATGTGCCTCCGAGTCCCTTCATTACCAACTATTCAGCCAGTAGTTTGTGATTAAATATGATTTTCTCCACTTTGTCTCCTTGTACGTAAACTAGAAAGGAGAAATTGTTTAAAGCAGTTAAAGTGTTTTTCTTTAAGGCGCTTTCACGCCGACCTTGTCTGAGTTAAGTTACAGAAAGCTTCTCAAAGGAGTGTAATCACAATATTTCAAGGTTCCAACTTGTTTAGAAAGGTATAAATTGAATTGCCTAAACGGTATTTAAACCTTTTTCATGGGTTACAGGACATGTGAAATTAAATTGGAAGGGATGAAAAACCTCATGGAGGTTTGGATGTCGAATGTCAGTGATGAGCTAATAATTCAAATAGTGAATAAATAATCGAGTACATTTGCAATGAAATGGTAAAGTGTTGCATCCATTTCACATGTATTGAGAATGAATAGCATTCTGTTTTTATTTACAATTTGTTTGGCTGCTTTGGAGTCAGTTCCTGGTTAATTGCTCAAACTAGACTGGTTTTGTGGCCCTGAATGCACAGTGGCTAAACCACACCTGGCTAAAAGATTCAGGTTTGTTTGCTTTATTTATTTTACTGATAATTTTACTGATAATTCATGTAATGAATCAAGAACAGTCCCGACCATAGTGATTGGATATCCATCATTTGAACTAAACTGACTGAGATTTGTAGCTAAGTGGTGGGTTTTTATAAAAACAATACAGCATTCCTTTGTCATAAAGCGGCACAAAGAGGAACTTAAAGTCGTATTTGTGCAGATTTTAGGCCAAACGGATGCACTTTGTGTTCCTGACGGAGCTGCCAGGGGGACGAGGCTCCTCCCCGAAACACCCAGAACCTTCAAAGTACTCAGAGACTCTGACCTTTTGTGGTGGATGCTCAGCTACAAACGCAGAAATACTGCAGTGAGAAGCAAAAATGAATACATTCACGCAGAAGAACCTGCAAAACAAGATTTCTTCTCTTGCTATGTCTTGCAAGGACTTTTGCAGACTCACACAGCAGGGGGACATTTACTGTCCTGCTGGTAAATGAGGTTATCCTGGAGTTTGTTTAGGAAACAAAGAATAAATAAGATAAAGGGGAAAAAATTGGACAGGACATTTTAAACCATAGCAGTATTTTTCTCTTCTGGTCAGTGTCAGACTGAAACCCAAATGCATTTAAATTCAGAATTAGCACAACAAAAATGAACTTTTAGGCTAAGAGAAGAAGAAAAATAAGTCCCAGCTGTAAGTGTTGGATATTACAACATCTTCTCTATTTATTTCACACATCTGTTTTCAGTCTTGAAGCTCAAAGCAGCCAAGAATCAATTTGAAAAACGATGGATTACTCCGGAAAAAGCATCTTCAAGGGCCCGCCATGCTCTCTTCTCTGCTCACAGTAAAAGGCGAGGAGATAACATCTGTCGCCTTTTTTATTTCCTTTTTCTATCTATTTATTTTTGTATCTTACACTGCGATCAGACACGCAGACGTACGAGTGGGTTTGATGTGTTCTGCTCTGATGTTTGTGTGCCATCTTCATCCACCCAGCACCAAAGCATAAAACTGGAGATGCCTGTTGATCTTTAGGTGGGATTTTAATTAGATTCATTTCCTAATCCTTATCATCTTTCTCGGTTGCTCCCTCATCTCGTTATTTAAAAAAAAAACTCATTTTAGAGGTAAAAAGTTAGTACCAGTGATATAAATCATGTATAGTAAAGATGTTTTGGTGTAAAATTCAATAATAATGAATCAGCATGCTGGTCTGACATTTATTTGACTGGGTAGTTTTTGTTTTTTTTGCTCCAATTCCACATTAAGTTTTAGCCTTCACAGACATCTCAAATGGCCCTCAAAAGCACCTGATTACTCTTAACTACACCACTATAGTGCCAAAGCACTTCTGAGTCATTGACTTTCATTTGTGTGTCAGAATCGTGTTTCTGGCATCAGATGAATCTCTGAAAGCTGCACGTTTGAGCAAACAAAAACAGCTTCATATGACATGTCGGGCTGATTCAAAGCACAGGCTCTTCATGTGAAAATCATTGGTCTTTTTGTGGGGTTAAATGCAATCAACAATGGCGAGCAAAAAGCCAAAAAAATGGGCAGAAAATGGCTACTAAATGCTTTTTAAAGACAAAGATAACATCATCATACCCTCATCACAGGCAATTTGCCTCATTATCATCATCACCCAGGCCTCCTCATAGTCTGTTTTCAAATCTCTGCCCAAAGCCATCTGTTCTCTTTGGGGCTTTGGCTCTTTTTGACAAGTTGCTGTTGCAATTTTATGCATTTTAATCCAGTTTTATCATCACATATTTATTGTCTTCTGTTGCTCTTATGAGTTCTTTTACTTTGTGTTTTAATTTCGGTAAGGCTCTTATTCACTTTTCAGGACTTCAAATTTATCTTACTGGGGACTTTAGACATCTTAATGATGTTTAGGGAAATGGTATAGAAAGTAAAGATAGTCTGACCATAACTGCTAATTGTGTTCAATATCCGATCACTTTTTTGACTTTCTGTCGTAACATTTGTGGGGAAAAGTGTAAAATAGTGAAAAGTTAAAAAGCCTGGTGTCGTTAAAGGAGGCGGCGTGTGTCTAAATGCGTCTCTTTTTCTGGGAGCTTTCAAATCCTGAAAGGTCCCGGACGTTAAGTGTGAAAATGAACGAGGCAGAGTGAAATTTGTCAAATGGAAAGCAGACGGCCGTAGAGGAGATGTGACAGGAAACACCATGGATTGATTTAGACATCTTTGAGTGAAATAAATGTGGAGTGATGCGTTTGATAAGCGTGGGTTTTTCTTCTGCTGCGCAGTGCTTTCAGTTATTAACTGTAAGTTCAGTAAATCAAAAAAAATTAGATGCTTTTCACAGTCTGACATAAGCCAAGGTACCATCTTCACAGAGCTTTTTTCTTTTTCGGTCTGACTTAAATGTGCGACAGAAGTTGTGATAATTATCCAAAGCAAGATAAATTAACATGAATCTGAACTCATTATCCTTTAAAATCAGCATCTTACCACAAACAAACTAAAGAGTAGTTTTTTTTTGTGTAATTTTCTAAACATTTCTGCCTAAACCAACAGCCATTGGGTCCTATTTCGGCATTGCAAATCCACCATTAGCTCTCTTTTTTCTGATATCCCTGTTTCCTGTTTCTTCTCCTAAAATCATCTGAAATCTCAAACTTTATGATCGACATATTTGATTTAAGCCAAATTTTAACTGCAGATGTCTTTCCTGAAACAGCGCTGCTCTTTTATCCAGGCTAAAGATTACTGCAGTAGGATTTTATATGTTAGCCAGTAACACTCTTAGACCTGCTTAAAGTGAATACAACTTCAGGTTAACAAGCTAAAAAACAAAGACATTGATGCTTGTGACTCCTCATCCTTGTTTTAAGCGTCATTTTTGAGGTGTGGCTTTAATGTGGTGTCTGATTGGGGTGGATCTTGACCCGCTGATAATGTAAGATTAATTCAATCATTTACTCTTCATCGCCATACTTTCTCCCTCTTCTATGTTTCGCCGGGAGGGGGAGGGGCGGTGAAAACAAAGAAAAAATCCATCAGAATTAAATCTTGTTCGGTTTGATTTACGCTCCTGATATCAAGGCTCCCTGCTCCTCTGGTTTCCATGGCGCCCAAACTTGACGTGAGGCGTCCGTGGGGGGGGGGGGTGAATGTGTCGGTGTGCAGGAATCAAAGGGGCCAATAAAGTCCTCCAAAGGACTCCGGCTTTGTCTGCTTTGATTTCCCCGCTGTGCTCATTCCTGCTAGTTTTTTCTTTTCGATTGCTCAGATAAGACTCAAGAGCTTCTGCAGCTGTTTGCCGGATTAACTCCTGTAGGCGAGCACATCTGGGCTCCTTTCACTCTCGATTGCAGAAGCGTCTCAGAGATGGTTTTTCTCTGTGATGAACTTCTGTTTCGATTTGAGTTTGAACACTGAGGTGCAGCTGTGCAGTTGATGAAGAGAAAAACTCCCAAAGATCCTTTAATATGCCTCCACAGGTAGTCATCACATTTCCTGTTTATTTTTGCTTCATGGAAACTCAGTTTCTTACAACTTAATTGATGAGTTTTTTTGGCTTCGTATTGATGAAATATTGATAAATCCCACGTATGGATGTGATGAATATGAAACAGCTGCAGCAGCTGGCTGCCGTGGTAACGCATTAACTCTTGATGATGCATCTCCATCATAAAGCCCGAGAAAAATCCGGGCTGGCCAGCAGATTCGCCCCAAGGTGGAGAAAAAAACATCATGAATTATGCTCTTTTTTGTCTCCGTCTTCCAAACAGACATCACTGAACTATGAGATTGACATTCAGATCTTTATTCAAATCAGTGATGCGGTCCGTTCACGGCAGGGATCTCAAACCCCTTAAGGGCCGCCGCCCTGCAGGTCTTAGATGTTTCCCAGCCTCAACACATCTGATTTAAACTTAAAAAGACTCCTCCAGAAGATTGAGGGGTTTCGCACAAAGGTGCAATGGGGTTAATCAGGTGTGTTGAAGCAGAAAAACACCTCAAACCTGCAGGAAAGTGGCCCCCCGGAGTTTACAGTTTCTGGCCAGTTTATAGGATTAGTAAGTTAGTTATAAAGCTGCATTTGGCCCATGCTGTACATACAAAGAAAAAAAAAGAATTGTGAACTCAAGGATTTTTTCTAAGGCCGTTTCTTTGCTTGGATAGAGGAACAACCTTGTCGATTTTCCGTAACTACCCTCATGCAACAGATGGTGACGTAGGTATTGCGTTAACTGACATCTGAGTTCCTTTTTAAAGGAAAAG